AAAATCGAAAAACCTGGACGATTTGATATTAGGATCCGGACATTAATTGCTTGCTATGGGCTTATGTATGAGTCACGAGTGTATGTTTCCATCGTGTGTATGTTTCCAGTAAAATAGAAAGTATAATACAGCAAGTTAAACATAAAAAGTGAATAGAATTATTTACATTTTGTGAAAAAGTGGAAATATTTTTTTTACTTTTACTATTTACGGTGACGTAATCTCTACCGTAATAATTACGGTGACGTAATACGGTGACGTAATACGTACGTTAACCCGTGCAGGCTATCATCGGGACGCTTATCAGACTGGGCGTCTATATAGCTGCCTGTAAGTATCTGCATGAAGATGAAGAGTACATAATAGAAAAACAAAGACTTTCCTGTTATGGACTCTTGATGTTGGGCATTGAACACGGCTCTCTGATCTTCTACTTGTTATGTTTCATTATACACTGGCTCAGAGTTTTCGTAAATCATCAAACGTTTCTGGACTGATATACTTCGTCGGTTGACGGTATGTGCTGCGACATTTTCTTACTTCTAATACACCTATCCGGCTACGTCACACGGTGCTCTGACCTGACGATGATTAAAAAAGTAAAATGTGGAAAATTAGGTACGTGTTATAATTGTCTACTGCGGTTTATATTGTATAAATATTGCATATTTTAACTTGTATATCTGAGTAAATAAATGTGTAAATACACTGAATAAGAAAATGCCATAATCTGTCCCAGTGTCCCAAAACACCCAATTCATAGTGATAGCAAGCAAACTTGGGCTTTATATTAAATCAAGTACATTGAACAGTTTTAGTACTAGGCCCAATGTAATTAAAAGGCTTTTAGAGCAAGGTGAATTCGTTGGTTTGCTAGACAAAAAAACCCATACGCACTAAAGTTAACACAAGTATTTCACCACTTGATTTAGTAATGAGAAAGAAAGAAACATTACAACGTCAGCGGAACCATCGTGCAGTATGACTATATCCGGCATGTCAGATGACAATCATGAATCATGATCAAGTAATTATGCTACGTATTTATCGTGTAGGCCTACGGTAACGATGTATTTGGGCTACATCTAGCAGCCAATAAGCACTGGTACTACGGGGTTCGCTCTTATGAAGTGACAGACGTCATGCAGATCACAGAAGTGGCTATTAATCTCGTTGAAATGCGCCCTGCGCCTCGTGATCCCTTGCGATCCATCGCTTTTGCAACTAACCAAAATCGCTATCGGTTGCGTGAGACTAATAGCTAAGGAGACTAATATATAATACGGAAAAGACAAAATTTGAGAAAAATGTGTTCGTCGATGCTCAGGACGAACCGCATAGCACGAAATCACTTTGAGGCCACACGTCTATATATAGGAACGTAAAAGTAAAAGCTCATGCCGATAATAGCCAGGTGGGTTGTTTAATACGACGATAATGTAACGCTTTATGTTGACATTGGCAAAACCGTATCTATGTTTGAATTGTTAATACTGCCCCGATCACTGCCAAGCAATTGAGATAGTTCACACATAAATTTTCATGTTGGTCATTGTTCATAAATACTACCTATACGCGGAGATTCTTTCCTGCACAGATAAATCACTCCGTTATCTTATACACATTATGGCCCCCACACCGCTGTAGAAATTGCGATATATAATTGATCACTGCGAATCTGCCAATGTAAAACTCCTTGCTCCTTGTGATATGTGCAATGCGGCTGTGGCGTATGTGACCAAGAACGTCGCGAGACAGACTGAAGGAGACCAGGAAACTGTAGAAATACTCACATTGGGGTCATCACATGGTGGCAAAACCGTGTTTCAAAAAAAATATTATTTATTTATATATTTATTTGTTTGGTTATCAATCAATTAATATATTTATTTATTCGTTTTTTTATCCATCTATTTATTTATCTATCTATTTATTTATTTATTTATTTATTTCCCTAGCTATCTATTTATTTATTTATTGGTTTGTTAAATGGATTAATTATTTGTTTATACGAGCGGATATAGCTATATGTAAGTATATAAGCCACATGGCGTTACTTTTTCGTATTCTGACCTATGCATGCGATTAGGTAAACATAATATATGCAAAAAAAAGATACTAATCATATTGATAAATTGAATTGAGGTTATGGCTGGTACACCTTGTCAATACGTATCACTCGCTTCAATTTCCTTTGTAAACAGCATAAATATTCTTATTTGGTTGGGGGGTGGTGCACAGATTCACACTAGCAGATAATAGCGGCGGAAAGCTGCTTATCGTCTCATCAAACATTCTAACTAAGTAGACGTGCGCTCAAGGCCCCCGCACACGATGCGCATCCAGCCGAATGCGCACCGTGTGCGGGCTGGCGTGCGCCGTTGGCGCGCGCCGGATGCGCGCGCCAGATGCGCGCGCAAAATATCTATCGTGTTTGATTTTTCTGGCTCAGCGCCGGCTGCGTCACCGTGTGCATGCGGGCTGGCGAGCGCCGTTGCCGCGCGCCGAATGTTTGCCGAAGTTAGAATGTTTGCTTTCAGCAGCACAAGTTTGCGCGGTAGTCGTGCGAGCTGGATTGCGCCGAATAGCTTTCTTGCCGATAGCGATTGACTTTTTAGATTCAGTTGACATTATTGACTTAAATAAAGCAGAAATCATGACCACCAGGGCGATCTGGTGATAGATAACACGGCTGTATTTCATATATAATGCTAATATTGGCCGCCATTGCAATAACCTTTTGCAAAAAAACACCAATACAAACGTCAATGTGGTAGACGGCAGATAAGCTGCTCAATCAATAAGTGAACGTTAACACGAGGCTCACAAGAAATTGACTCGCTGAAGTCATTCAGTCGTGACTCGTTACCGGTAAAAGCCGTACCACCTTTATATGCAGTCGCTCCCATGTTTACAGATTAATGCAAGTTTAACGCTCGGTAATATATTATACGACATATATGCGTGAACGCCATACACCGAGTTATGCGTGTAACGAGATAGGCACATTATACTAACAGTTTCCATCCCTAGATCATAAGGCGAGCAGCTATCTTAAAAAGAGCGCGGATGAAAACAGTGAAAAGAAGATTTTGCGCGCAATAACTGATTTCGCGCCTGCAGCCATTTCTCCGTTCTTCTATATTATATAGAACTCGAACCAAACATAATACTTTTCGATTCGCGTGCGCCGATCTTTACTTGTACTCGACAATAGCGTCTGTCGTGCATGACCTCGATTTGACGTGCAATATTATTATCTTGTCGGTATATGCAAATTGCGAGCGAAGGTAAACGTTACTTGTTCGCTCAGGCACATCGCAGGCAGTGGGGAAGCAAACTCACGATTGCATCACTTCATAATCTTTCCGATCGTGAGATCTATTTAGCCAACATGCATATTTTAATATTCGCTCGGCTTGCCCAACCTTAATATAGACTTTAGCGCGTCAGTGCCATCCGATCTTAATAAAATATGAGCAGGCATATTATGGTAACCATGACGACTGCAGTCAACATTCCTTATTCCTTTTAGTGGAGCTGTCGCAATCATTTGGCCCGTAGGGAGTTGCTAACAAAAATGTGATTTAGCTGTCACAAAATGCACGCACGCACACATTCTGTCAATCACGCAAGCACGCACACAAGTGTATATAGAGCAAGCACGCACACACGCGCGCTCAAATGTATACACGCACAGAAACACACCTGACGCCCGTACACATATAAAATTATTTCCACGCATGCACGCACGAGCTCACACACGTGGCTTCGTAATTATCCGATGGTGGAGACTACATGTGGATTTAATGGTTGTACGGTATTATTTTACTTGCTCGAACGAACTGCCTCGAGAGTTCAAGAGTTACGTCTTTGTCGGCGCGCCGTAAGTCTATAAATATCTTAATCAACGAAAACGGTCGCCACCTGAAACGATCTCACGCGGAATTATAATTACGGCTTCTGCTTAATTTTCTAGCGATCGAGACATCACGGATGGGCACGCACTTTGTACTGTGCGGTATATGTCGAAAGGTTTCAAATTGACACGCTCGAAACAGGAGAGCGCATAGACGTGCATGATGCACACGCATTGATGCTTCGGGCCACGACTCACAGTTTGATTGTTTACCTGATTTCTTCGTTTCTAGCAGATCCCTACCTGCCAATTTGATGAGCAAACATGCATGATCTTTCATCATTCGGTTATAGGTGTAGGAATATCTATTATTTACCTATACCTTTATTTAATAAGCCAAATATCGGGAAAAGCAGCTTCATGGAGAGCATAACGCGTCCGCTACACTAGTATAGCCATATATATATATGCGTATCTGTATAAGGCGCGTGGGAGTACGTGTGCATACAGCGAGCTCGTGCGTGGTATTTCGTGTTTTCTGCAGCGTGCACTGCTGTAATATAATATGTCTCTACGACGATGAATTCATTCACTTCCTGTGTAGTTCGCGGTAGTTTTATGGTCTCGAACTGAATAGTTACTTCGTGGCGACTATTATTACAGTCTGGCGCGAAGCGGAAATCGATATTTCCAGTCATTTATTTTTATTTTCCTAGCTCGCATATACAGCATCTATACTCTAGCAAGGGCCGCTGAAAAAGTTTCGCAAAAATTCGGGGGCGCGAACCGCATGTATGTGCGGACACTGTGCAGATTGACATGTGTGTGACGTACTTTGATTTGACGGAAATCATATCGGTCGCGCGTATTACACGTATTATACACGCGCGCATGTTCGCATTACATGTTTATATATATATATATATATATATATATATATATATTGGATAGCATAAGATTGCGGCTACTGTGCAATGTCGCAGGGCAAGTATGGTTCTGTTAGTGTACATGATGTGTAAATGAGACGAAAAGACTGGGTTACTATGCCAAATGAAATATGCAAACTAACCCTGTTCGCTTTATTGTATCACCATCGTGTGTGCGTGTGCGCAAAACACTTATATATATTGTCTGTTTTCAGATCTCAAGCTCGCACCTTACGATTATTTCCCCAAAAAATAGGAACACTGGCAAAGATGAACAATCCGAGGAGTTATATATGGCAGGTAATTATGCTACATGCTCGATTTCTAATTTAAATATAATTTCATCTATACAATGAATACGGGGAAGCCGTGGCCTATGGTTATTATTAAGAACTTTGGGCTGCGAGTTCGTGTTCTGCCTTGGCCATTTCTCTTGAACGCAGCAGAGAATTTTTGTTTTATTGGACAGAATGAAATTGCGATGAAATGAGTGCTTTATCAGTAGTTTGGCGTAAACATTAAGAATATCCAAAGTAAATATAAAACATTAACAAATCTGAATCAAACACAGAATTGAAAGCAACAGTGTTGCCATTGTGATAAATGCTGCACCTGCATTCAGAAGCAAAAAAATGGGTAATTTTGCTGCATGCTCGCTTTCAGCTCATCTTACATGCCCAGGCGTAGCTAACACAGCAATAACGGTAACAAAGTTATATGCATATGTTACCAATTGTGTTCATATTCGGCGGGTATCAAGCTGAATGATGGCGGCAGGTTAAAACTCGAGGATATCTATTAAGTTCAAGAGTCCTTAAGATACATGATCGTTTGATCAAGAGCCCACGAAAAAATGCATCATCGGTGTAGAATCTAAGTCGAATGTCAAATCGCGGGTATTCAAACGACACACATTGCAGACAGTTTGTGGTGCATGAGTCGACGCACCCAATGTAAACCATTTTTCGACGTTGATTTACCAATTTTAGATTTTAAGAGAGGAATTATGAAGCACGAGTAGCGGTCCTATGAGCTGTTGAACCATAGGCTGGCTCAACATTGATCTGGATCCTTCATCCTCTTACAAAAATGGCAAACCACTAATAACTTCTCAGGGTCATACATAGCTGTATTGTCCGGTTACAGTTGGATAATGGTTAATGAAGGTTCACAGCGGAAAACCAGTTTAACGATACGTTAGTACATTTAATTATAATACATCACGAATAATTGGTCGGCACAGACCAAAGCTAACTGTGCTACCTTGGGTTAACTCAATTTGTGATAATTTCAAGGTTAGCCTCAGCAGCAGTATTGGAAGCAGCAGCAGCAGCAGTATTAGTAGTTGTTGTTTCGCCTATTTTCGCCAACTCTATTCGCCAGTTTGTTTCAAATGATCGTCATCGAGACCCATTGAAACTATAATCATTTTCTAGCTTTCTTTCGTTTTTCTTCAGCTCATTTTCTAGCTTTCTCTTCTATCATTTTCTAGCGTTCACTCGTTGGCATATGTTGACAACGTCATGTGAATGGTCCAGAGCGGGTTGGCGCACATTGAAACAATAGAATTCTCTGCCTTTCGCATTTAGATCGATGAAATCATTTCAGCGATAATACAGTTTTAGACGAGAAATCGCATCGGTTTGTATAATGTTGGTCTACTACATTGCTATATAATGTTGCACATCGATGGTTATTACCTGAGCCTATTTAGCCAATTATTATGACGCAAAGTTCAGAGAGGAGCAAATATTATACAAGAGTGTACCAGCTAATAACGAAGCCGGTGCCTGTTGTCAAAACAGCATAAATCGTTAGTATATCAAACCTAAAATCTCGCAATCTCGCACACAAAAATACACACTTTTAGACTCAAGATGGCGTAACTACTTATGACGTCGTAATGTTTCTCTCAACGAACTCTTGTATCAAAGAGACAAACTCAGAGTCGGCATGATCTTTAAAGAAAGAACCAGAGTTAAATAAAATCAATATAAAATCGCATACTGAATATCATACGTCATAACTATAATACTCTTCATTAAGATGATATTTTCTAGTAGGCGGTGTTAGTGGCAATCCTAAAACACGTGTGTCGGTTGTCACCAAATCGTACCGAAATGAGCACTCGAGATTTTTTTTCCAATGTGTTTAGATCAACAGGGTACATGATTGTAATTTACCTTTGCAAGGCTTCTGAACGGATTTCTTGCTGATTAAGAAAGCATCATCGTTGGATGCGATACTGCGATATTGGGAGCTGTTAACATTAGATCGATTTTATAATCATAACGCGTGTAACAATTAAACCCAATAAACAGAGAATCTCTTGATTAACAGTTAACAACTATAATGAACTCTTCCTTGATTACAGTCAATTACTATCGTTAGAAGTCTTCGATGCAGTGTTAATCGGAATGAGATCTCCACATTTCGGCAAACCACTGCGAAATTATACAATTTGCCTAATATCAGGATAATAATATACATGTAACTATAGCTGTGTAATCCAGGGCAGTTTTCGAAAGTTCGTTAATTATTTCCTATTAGACTCTCACTTTCCTTCGCGCACGACATCCGCTTGTATGGTAAAGCCTTAATGCGTATAGCTCATATATCTGTTTGTGCACTTTGATCTGAACACACCTGCTAGAGATTTCAGGAAGGGTCTTCTATGCGCAGACCTCTTATCAGAGATTACAAGGAAATGTGCATGGCGCCGTAATCCTGAAGTTCCCCCCCCCATGCCGGATAGCCCGCAGCAATTCCATTCTCTAGTCACACACCTTCCGCAAATGAGGACGAGATATGGATCCAATTCTAAACAACGCACCTATAGCAGCATCATCAATCATCTTCAAGAGTAGTAGGCACATTCACGATTAGATCGATATCAGCGGGAGTACAATTAGATACATTTCCTGCAAGATTAGCCGAGGGTCTTGCGAGCCCTCTCGCCAGCTTTTGTTTGTTTTTATCCGCGTTTAAGTAGTAGCGCAAAAAAATGAAAACAGCAGCAGGACTGGGCACGTTGCGGAGGTGTTTGAGATTACCGTGATCTTTAGCAGGGTAAGTGCGCGCTGCGGTAATGGCCCGAGGTTGCTCTGCCTCCTGCAATTGTGTCGTCCATTCTTTCAATTCTGGAACGTCGATGAATGCATTCGTGCTTACTTTAGATGCGCGTATCCATGTCCACTCAGAAAAGGTAGCGGAATAAATGATCGTTGCTCTGAGCATGTCAGGCTTCCTTCTGTCGCATTTTGGCTTTCCCCCGTCAGCGGAATTGGTCAATAACGTAAACATCGGCCACAATTTTTCTATTGAGCGTTGCGCGTCGAATACTCCTGCATTTAATCAGAACCATGCCGAGAGCGGTTAAGAATAGGAGCAGTTGCTGTTGAGGTTTCTATTTGCGGAGACGTCAATAGAAATCGGTTTACCAACTAACCACGAGGCATGACGCACGTGCTGCTAATAAAGGTGACTAGAAGACCCCGACACATTGTCCCATACACTGTAATATGTACAGTTATTACATGGTTGTAAGGAACACAGAGATTTGTGGACTGAGAATCCCCATATTGCCTGAGAAACCAAGATGAAATTGTTTTGGTATATGTAAAATCAAGAATATAAATAAATTTAGGGTAGCGGTTATTATTGTATTTGGGGCACGACGAAAATTACTAGGGAACGATTCAAAGGAATTCCAGACGAACAGGAATTTCATTTACTAGTCTTCGTCTGCCCATGATTTATTATGCGTAAGCCAAGAAACGTGAATATCAAATTTTTCTTAAACTTTCAATCACTCTTTTCAAACTTGCTTTTTCCATACATAATCACAATCAAGAGAGATTCTAACGAACTTATGTGGCATTTATAAATAGCCCGACAGTTACAACTATCATATAACGTGACTATTCATTATTATAAGGTTGAGCATCAAACTTGGTCATATGACGGCGGTTTTGGCTTTGGATACGCTTGCCGTTATTGCCTGCTAGTAGATCTGATAGCCTGTTCTGATCCAGTGGTTATTAAAACATATTTCCCTCATATCGTGGGAGCATCGGTAGCAAAAGATAGTGTTCATGATAGGTGACAACACAGCTCAGCAGGAAACATCGATTTACGGCGGACAATACTGCATGGTTCACCAATCACAATAAAGTGGACAAATATTCCTACATATCCTATGACACAAATCATCGTTCTCTTGCATATTGTGTTAGTGTGGCGTGTGTCTTCCGTTTGGTTGCGATTAACGGGCATGGCTTTTCGACGCAAGAATATTGTTTTAGACACCAAGATCATGTTTCTATGTTAAATATTAGCTGAAATATTTCGGATAATGCAATTTAATGGCGGCCATTTGGAGATTCAAGATGGCGGCCAAATACCATGTCGATGGATATGGGTGTCCGATCTCATATGAATGTAGACCTACATATCTTAAACTAGATGTGTACAATTTTTTATGCTTTTGTCTAAAAGTGCTCAATTCATATGATTTATGGCTCTTGTAGGTAAGTAGTAGTAAGGCCTACTACTTTCAGCTGTGAAGAGTCCATACTTCGTCCAGCGACACTGCTGCATGCTTACTAATCATCGTAGTCACAATTCGGTATTATTACCTCCGCCAAGGGGTTGGCAGGAGGTTGTTTTCACCGGCGTGTGTTTGACTGTTTGTTGGTTTGTAGGTTTGTGGGTTTGTGGGTTTGTGTACAGCCTAACCGAAAAAGTTATGGACGGATTGTCCTAAAATTTCAGGATAGGTCAGAAATCGCCTAACTTAGAATTGATGAGATTTTGGTGGTGATCCGGATCAAATTAATTAATTAATACATTTTTTAGGATAGGTCAGAAATGGGGTAACTTAGAATTGATTACATTTTGGTGGTGATCTGGATCCAATTAATTAATTAACTAATTAATAAAATTTCAGGATAGTCAGAAAGGGGTAACTTAGAATTGATACTTTTGGTGGTGATCCGGATCCAATTATTAATTTAATAAAATAAATTAATAATAAAATTTTTCACATTAAGTTAATTAATTAATTAAATAAAAATTATTCACTGTGAGAGAATTCAGCTGCCTTGCCGGAGGTCTGTGCTCTCCGAGTGCTTTAGTTCATGATATTTCACCTTGATTCTATATACAGTATTACCCCCATCCGATATACTCTATACGATACGAACGGTAGAATTATGCAAGTACTACTAAGCTGATATCACGACTAGTAAACAACACTGGAAATAATTATAAAAATTGGCTCGGATCGCGATGCGTATTTG